AATTGGATGAACCAGGTATTTGAGACATTTTCCTGGATTGTACTATTTGAGTTGCTGTACTCATTATCCCACCATTAAGTGCTCTTCCTTATTGTTGATTTAAAGTGCTGGTCACCAATTCTTGAGCCAGCAGAAAATCATATTGCCATAACATTTTCTGTTCCTCTGCTGCAGTAGGCAATGCTAGCAAATACAAGATAGCAAATGATGCTAACTTAATGTACAGAACATGTTAAAGAAAGTGATAGGTGGGTTCCCCGTTTTATTTTTTTCCCCATCCACCAAATATCACGAACCAGCAGAATATGGGATGGATGTGGGGTGAAGGAGGAAGCATGTTTTGACAGATGGCTTGGCACCTATGATAGCTTAGCTTTCAAAATTTACTGTTTTTGTGCAAATATTTTATATAGGTGCAAAGTGAACCAATCAGCTGATAGTTGGATTTCCATGTTTGGATGGAGCTAAAAATAGAAATAGTGCTGTGCAGAAGATTACTAAACCCATGTTTCCAATATGATGAGCAGATTTGGCAGTATTCCAAAGTGTTGGACCTGTGTTCAACTTTAATAATTGAGACACATGAAGAGGTTGTAACATGGAGCCACAGAAACTAAACCATGTCTCTCCTTGTCCCCAACTTTACTACATGCCCCTCCATTATTGGTCAGCTGTGAAACAATCCAGGTTTCCAACCTGGGGAAAGGTTTGCAGAGCTGGTGAGTACAGAGGGAGAGTCTGGTTTGAAAGTACTAGATTCAAACAGCCTAAAGAACATTACCTAAGGATGTCTTAAGGCTACCCAGATGAGAATTATGAAAACAATATTAAGTGAATATAGCAAAAAAAGAGAGGCTGTCGTGGCAAATTAATACAGTGGTTAGGTGCAAGTGGAGAAAGGCTCTTAGACTGATAATTGGTGAATACTTTTCAGGGTAATTCCTCACTTGAGCCTATCTTTGGCAACTTTACCCAGCCAACTTTTGTGTACCTTTAACTAAAGACTTTGTTTCCTGACAAAAGTTTCTGTCGTGTCTCCATCAGATCCCGGTTCAGAGGAGGAGGAGTTGGAACTGGGATCATCTGGCAGAGATGGCAGGTCTCCCCTTGGAATGTTTGGAGAGACCAGGGGCTGAGGACGATGCTATCCCAGGCCTCTCTGGCATTGGGGGAGGTGGTCGACCAGAAGGGGAGCTGCCTGCCCTCACAAACACAGGGAGTGGTGGTGACAGACAGCAGATTCCCTCTGATGAGGATCAGCTGCCTCCACCACTCTATCCAAGGGCAGGGAGAGGGAAGCTCAGAGGTCTGTGAGGTTGCTGGTGAGTGGCCACCCTGTCCCTTCTCACAAGGAACACCTGGCTTGAACTGATTTAATCAGGCTGGGGGAAGGTGTCTTTGTTGGGAACAATTGTTTTGCTTCAGCACACACTTTCCCAGCCATTGTAACTCTGCTTCAGATTGCATTTTTGTCCTATGGACTCTGATCTTGTTTGTGGACTACGGATCTTGCCTTGTTCATCTTGCCTTGAACCTTGTTTATGACTTACGGACCTTGCCTTGCCTTCTGAATCAACTCTGATTACTATTGTGGGACTGTGTTGCATTGACTGTGGGTGGCTACCTTTGGGAAAGTTTGGGGTGTAGCTTTATCGGAGATTGTAGGGACATTTGTTGTGGGATAGCAGAATAATAAAAACTTTATTGAAGCCTGCATCTATCTAGGGCAGGGTAGGCAACCAGTATAGCTGGCTCAGGAATTCTGGGAGTTGAAGTCCATGAGTCATAAAAGAGCCGAGGTTGCCTACCCCTGATCTAGACAATATGGGTCGTAACAGTTTCATTGATTTTGTTGTTGGCATTTCTCATACAGTTTAATATGTTCCTCTTAACATTGTAAACAGTGACTTTTTTTAGTGAAATATATTGAATTAAACAATGATTAATTCTAAATTAAATATGTGTTGAAAGATAATTTTGCTGCAAATATTGTGACTAAGACACAGATGGGTCAAATATGAAAACAAAAACAAAAACTAATATATTACAAAGCAGTGAGACTGAAACAATAACTTACCTGCCAAAAAAACTGACTTAATTTTCTTACTGAATTCCTTTTCCTAAGTTATTCCACATATTTATACTTATATATTTAAAGCAATATATTTTTAAACCAATATGGCACCCAGTGAAAAACTTCACTGGCTATAGAAAGGTACTTTTAAACTACAATTATTGTCAGTGTTCAGCAATACTTGACTTACGCGTGTAATGGAGCCTGCCAATTATGATCATAAGTTATGATGGTTGTAAAACAGGTCATTGTATGACTGACCCGATTTTGCGACCTTTTTTTGCGGCGATTGTTAAGTGAATGCTGCGGCTGTTAAACAAACCCATTGTTCATTGGCAAAAATGCCAAAAACTGGAAGCAAATGCCATTTTTTAAAATAAAACATTATAAAGTGTGATCCTGTGACCATGGGATGCTGCAAACAATTGGAAAAGTGGGCTGGTTGCCAAGTGAAGGCACATGACCATGAGGGTGGTGCAGCTATTGGACCTCCTGAACCATGTCATAAGTACTTTGCGGGGGATCCATCATAACTTCTTAGCAATTGGTTGTAAGTTGAGGGCTACTGTTACTCCAGATATACTGCACTGGAATTGTTCAGTGGTTCAAGAAATATGTGGCTATTCCAAGCCCTCTGTTTTCTGTAGGACTCCAAAGTCTTCTTTAGGTCTTTGAGAATATATTTCCTGACACGTTTTCTCCTCTCAAGCTATTATACTCACTTACTCTATTTTATCTTCTCTCTGCCACATACTGTAGCTATTAAAGGCAAACTAACAAATCAACCATATCCAGAATGAGATATCAGGGCAAAATATTCAAATGCAAGCTGCTATTAAGGAGGGGGCTACCATAGATCTCTTCCATTTCTAGGTGCTTTAGATCAGGGGAGGCCATCTTTTGGCAGGCAATGAGACTGACAGCCACAGGGAGAAGGCATGTGATATAAACGGATGATGGTATTTTGGAGAAAATTTGATGTGCGTATGTTTTTACTTTTATCTGTGATATAGACAGTCTTCAATTTACAACAAGTGGGATCAGAACTTCTATCACTAAGTGATGCAATCGCTGAGTTCCACCCAATTTTACAACCTTTTTGCTGCGGTCATAAACTGAATCATTCTGGTTGTTAATCAAATCATATGGTTTTTAAGCGAATCTAGCATTGCTTGTTGGAAGCCCTCTGGGAAGGTTGCAAATGGCGATTTTGTGATCCCAGAATGCTGCAACCTTTGTAAATACATGCCAGTTGCCAAGCTTTCAGATTTTGATCATATGACTATGGGGATGCTACACTGGTCATAAGCATGACTGGGTTGTAAGTCATTTTTTTCACTGCCATTGTAAGTTTGAATGGTTGTTGAATAGCAGTAGCAATAGCAATAGCACTTAGACATATACCGCTTCACAGTGCTTTACAGCGTTCTCTAAGCGGTTTTATAGAGTCAGTATGTTTCCCCCAACAATCTGGGTCCTCATTTTATCGACCTAGAAGGATAGAAGGCTGAGTCAACCTTGAGCTGGTCAGAATTGAACTGCCAAACTGCTGGCAGTCAACAGTCAGCAGAATTAGCCTGCAATACTGCATTCTAATCACTCCTGCCAGCTGTTTGCCACTTCAGGCTAGCAGGAATCTCTGTGGTTTTTATGAATCATGACCAAGGTATGTCAGTAGGCCTGGGGGTCCCAGAGGAGGCTAAAATTTTAAGATGGCTCCATTATTATTAACATCTACTTTCTTCTGTGCCTGGTGGTTTATGTATGTTTAAATTAATGACTGATTTATATTTTGAATGATTGTTTTTATGTATTTGTTTTATTTCATTATGTATGTTGCTCACAGTCACTTTTTGTGAGATGGGGAGGTTATATAAATTTAATAAAAAAATAAAAAATAAACCCATATGACCATAAAAAGGAGACAGAAAATATGCAGGGTAGATATTTGAACTTCTTCGTCAGAGGGGCAAAATCTGAAGTATCTGAACAGAAATGAAAACTCTTATTTTCAGTGGGCAATATGCACTTCTTTGTAGCCTGTAACAATTACAAATGAAGGGAGAAAATTCTTTCTATTTTGGTCAGTAAACAATTACATAACTCTGGGACTCATACTTGTGAAGAGGGAGAAACCAAGCATCTTTCATCTAATTACTTTTAGTGGAATTCAAAGGTTTTCCCCATCCATCACTCTGACATATTTTAAATTCATTAAATCAGCATATACCCACTAATCTATTTTAAGATTGCAATTGGTAGACTATAAGGCTTTACAATTTACAGTAACAACACACACACACACTCTCTCTCTCTCCTTTCCTTTCCTTTCCTTTCCTTCCCTCCCTGCCTCCTTCCCCCCATATAAATAATATAAATAATGAGTACTGGGAGATTAACCATCTCCAGTAATGAACTAAATATATGTAGTAATTCAAAAAACATTTCATTAAGTGTAATAGAAAAGGCAGTGCTGAGTTGAGCTCAGTTCGCGGTGAATACCTGGACATGTCCATCTAATCATTTTGGTAATAGTAACAAAAAGAAGTGTCACGTTACTTTTTCCAGGATATCTGTGTATTTCCCTATCTAGTCTGTGTAGTCTGTCCAGTTTGATCTAGAGCAGAGGTCCCCAATCCCCGATTCGTGTACTGGTACTGGGCCGCAACATGCCAGCAACCAGTCTGCACAAACAAGCAAAGCCCCATCCATGGGATGCAGACAGCACACAAAACCACGCACTCTCCGGTCTCCTTTCTCCACAGACTTGGTCCCTGGTACCCAAAAAGTTGGGGACCTCTGGTCTAGAGGCCTGGGATGCCTGGTAGTGTCTCCCATCTAAGTACTAACCAGGCTTGAGTCTGCTTAGCTTCTGAACCCAGACAAGCTGGACAGGGGTGACATCTGCTGAGACTTATAAAGTACACTTGTCTTGTTCTGTGTAGGGTAACAATCAAGTTAGAAACAGTAGCATATGTTGCTGGAGATGATGTATTACAAAAGTGCAGAAATTATATCCTTCTAAATATTGGGCTACAAATGCCAGCATTATCCTGATTGAGTAGAATGAATTAGAATCCAGCAACATCTGGGAGATCACCAGTTCTCCATTCTTAACATAAGAGGTGTTGGGATGATCAGTATCATGCAGTCTTACTTTACAGGACTATAATCATGAGGGAATACAAGGCCAGTTAGATAAAACTAAAGGCTTATGTAATTCAGCATATTTTTCTCACAGTAGACAATCAAATATTTCTAGGAAGCTCATCAGCAAAGCAAATCATAATACCGATAAATCTATCTTGTGTATGAGTTTGTCAACACTTTACTTTTTTCCTAATGACTACCATTGCACTTTTAGCAGTACCCTATCCCCCACTTAGTGCATCATAATAGAAGAAGTACATCCTTTTAATCTGTACCCTGAGTTTACCATCAAAGAATTTTATTGGATGGCAATGAGAATAAGGTATGGAGAGGGAAATGGAAAAGCTGGAAAGGGAAGGAAAATATTTATATCATCCTATAAATCATGCATAGATTTGTTAAGATTTGGTAGTGCAAAATTAGCCATAGAGAAACATTATCATGACTTTTGCTCCAGTCCTTCTTCAGGACATCAGCTATTACAATCTTTTCTATTTATCTTGTATCAGCTTTGGATCAATTTAAAATCTTTCTAGGTTATGCTGGTAGCTTCCATGGCTTCCATCAGACAGACATTTATAAGGCAAGTTAGAAGTTCTTTCACAATCTCAGTTCTGTGGAAGCCATAAACATTATTTGTTATAACTTTACAATCAGTATTTCATTTCTTTGGCAATCTTTGAAGATAAATTATGAATCAGAACATTAAAATGTCTGGGGGAGAAAACAATATTATGAAAACAGTTAACAGACTGTGGAAATATTTGGTTGCATGTAGACTCAGGATATGTGGTGAAGAATAGCTGCAGCTACTGAATGTCAGCTGAAATAAAACTGTGTTTATTTATAATATAATTTGTATATTTATTAGATTCCAAACTTGAATTTCCAGCCCAATCCAAGTACTTGGATGTCTGCCTGTAAATTACACTGTGGGAGGTGGGATGCTAGAAGTATTATTGCCAGTACAATACTCAAGACAGAAAAGCTTGTATTGATGAATCTACTTTCTTTTGTTGCTTTGAAGGAATGTGACACAGATGGAATCTTAAACTATTTTGTCCATTTTGCTCCAGATGTCTCTTGACGGACTGAGATTTGAATTAGTTATAATATATACTGGCTTGGAAGAATAGTGAAAATCCAGGTGTATAAGGTTAGTGCGTTTTCTGCAATGGCTCAGGAAGAAGTTACTTTATACATGCTTTTGGAACAGATCACTTTTAATGAATAAATCCATAATGAAGTAGTTAAGGGTTTTGTTGACCATCTTGCTACCAATTTGCCTTTTTTTGACGCTAGATAAGTCTTCAATTCAGTAGACTGGAAGGATGTTTCTGGTGAGATCTTCATCTCTGTGGTAAACTTCACTGAAAGCATCTGATTCTTGGCTTGGGTAATTCTCAGAGTCCTCCGGTTCCTTCTTATCACTATTCCGCACAGCAGCTTCAAGGGCCTTTTGCCGGCGATAGAAATGGGAGAACTTATTGAAGATGATAGTGATAGGCAGTGCCACAACCAAAATCCCACCCAAGATGCAACCAGAAGCTGCCAGCTTGCCGGCGACAGTCACTGGTACCACGTCCCCATAGCCTACAGTTGTCATGCTAACTGTCCCCCACCACCAGCAAGCAGGAATAGTGTCAAAACCAACATCTTCCTCCTTTTCTGCAGTGTAGGCTACTCCAGAGAAAACAGATACTCCAACAGCCAAGTATAGAAGCAGAATTCCCACTTCTCTGTAGCTATGCTGAAAAAGAAAAGATAAAAAAAGGAAAAATATGGAGGTACGTAGTTAGGATCAATAGATAAAAAATAGTATGAAAGGAGACTTCATTCTTTCAATGCTGGGTTTTCTACCCTTTGAGTTGTATCCCTTTCTATAATATCAGACCACAGTTGGCTAAGATCATGATTGAAATTTAGAACAGAACACTATTTTGCATTAGCACATTTCCAATAATCTCTTTCATTAAAAAAATAGCATGAAACAATAGTACTTTAATACCAATATCATTTATTACTTTTCTTTCAATGATATGTGCATAAGCACATCTGGATTAATGCCCTCCAGATGCTTGGACTACAATTCCTATTACCCCCAGTCAGTGACCCATGCTGAAAACGATGGAGGTTGTACTCCAGCACATCTGTATTGGGCACAGTTAATGTTCATTTACTGTGGCAGGCAGTAGCATTCCAGAGTTTGAGGAACAGATTACTTGCAGGTAGATGCTAAAACTTCAGCATTCAGAATAGAGATACTCCTTCAGTGAGTTGCATTAATAAAAGGAAGCCAGGAGATCTTGCCTATACCTATACCATTATTTTTACTGTCAATACCACTAACATTTTAGAACTCCCAGGCTCCCATCATCTTGGTTTTCAATTTTAATTTTTAAATTTTTGTTCTATTTTAATTTGTTTTGCACTTTGTAACTTTTATTATATAGTAAATTTTCCAGAGTCACTGTATTACTGAGATGGCTGGCATAGGAATCCAATAAATAAATAAACAATAAAGATCAAAGGTCCGTGATCTCCAGACAGAAGTTACTTTCTAGGCTCCATCCATTCTTATTACTTTTAGCCCTGAAGAGCCTGGGTTGCGATACAAATACCGTTTTTTCACACAGTTGCAAGTTTTATAATTGTAATATTTGAAATTACTTGTGGTGCACGAGGGTGGCTGAGATTTTAATAGTTTAAACAAATGTAATATATATCCATATTTCCTTCCTATTGTTTTTGAGATTAGAATGGGGAGGTGTTTTTCTATTGTAAGGAAGCTAACTTAATTAGGAACAGATAACTTTTGCTTTCATTAAAACTGAATGTCCCACATTCAGTTAACTTGTTCAGCACTGCTGCTCTGATCTGTGCCACTTTACTTGGGAGTAACCTTCAACAAATTCATTGTTGTTGAGTAACCTTCAACAAATTCATTTGCTTTTGAGCAGATATGTACAGGAGTGTGCTATGATTCTCATTTATTTAAGTGGGATTCACACATTCTAACCGAATGGAGGATTGAGACCCATCTGCTCCCTACTGCACCATTTGATATATTCTTGTCAAGCAAGACAACTTTCCAGATCAATGAGCTTTTTAGCATCTCTTCGAATATAAAACAAAATATTTTTCTATGCAACATTTCTGGGACTAATGCAAACTTTCCAGATAAAGTATCTTATTAATGCTTTGGTGCTTCTTTGGTTTCCAAGGACAGAAGGACAGAACGTGGTGATGGCAATAATCACTCTAATATCTGCTTTTAAGGACAAAAGCTGTTCCTGAACTCTAGACTGGCGCCATCAGTCATATCTCAGTTTGTACTGAGGCAAGATCTGCATCTGACAGGGAGAAGACAGAAGTCTTAGTGGCAAATAAATATCTTTCATTAGCCTATTTTATAGGTTTAAAGCAGACATATAAAACGGGGATGTCTACTCAGTGATTCAGAATGCAATATGATCCCTAAATAGCTACAAGTAAGATCAAGATATGTACTGATTTCAGATCTGGCATCTATAATTTTACAGGACATAAATAACTGAGGAACAAATGTGTTTCTGTTGTCCCCTTCCATTGGCTTCCCATTTTCCTGGATCAAATCTGGCAATCTTTTTCATGGTCTATCCCTTTTATGCAATATGATTGAATATCTATAGCCAGTTCTCAGGATAAAGGATCAGAGGATGCAGCCTTTCCAGTTCCTGAACCAAGAAGACAGAGGTATCAAGCGTCTTTAGTTGCTATGGTCCCAAACAAAAAAATATTTATCCCAATTGTGCTGTCATTGGAGATTCCTTTCCTTGTTGTCCATAAGTAGTCCCTCTTCTGCCTTCCTTGCTTTCCTTGTAGCATAACAATCACAACCACCATGAAAGCACGTGATTAGGGAAGATGGAAGAAGCTTTGAGAATAAAGCTGCAGTTATCCTGGCAAACCACTCTCATGAGCCCTTCAGCTCCAGAGTTCAAGTTTAACAGGGTTTAAAGAATAACAATCTTAGTTTGTTTTTTATTTACACAAAGACATTTCCTGTAACATATGTATAAGAAATCCAGGCTCAGAATTGATTGGATTTGTAACTTGCAAGACCTATTAGGACAAAAATCTGCTATTTTCCAAAACAGATACCAAACTATAATTGTTCTGAGGCCTAGCAGGAAGATCAAAACAAGCTGTTGCTGGAAGTGAGGCTGATATAACCAAGATCATTGACAAAATATACTAAGATGGTCAATGTTAGGCAGGCATGGTAGGTGGGAAATGGAAATTCCTTTTCAAAAATATACAAGGAGTCCAGCAGATGCAGTAGATAGGCTCAATCCAGAATAGAATAAGGACTGTCAGAGCTGTCTATTTATAGGCATGGCACAAGAGACAAATAGAAAGAGACAACCCAGTACAGTCAGTCACAAAATGAAGCTGCCAACGAAAATGACAGCCAATAGACAGCCTAGGCAGAAATGTGGAACAACTGAAAATGTATTCATTAAAATATACATAAGAAAGAAGCAGAGAACATGGTTAAGCTGCAAGAAGGGAAAATAATATGACTAGTTAAGAGCTAGGAAGTCCAGTGCTTTGAGGAAAGAGAAAATGATGTGCACCAAGGAATTAGGTACAGACTGAAATGTGCAGTTTACACTTGAATAGAATGGGTTGCAGCCTCTGGATCAATAGTACATTTCCCACTTTTTAGACAAGCCGTATCATTTATTTTCATCCTCTCACTTCACTGGCTGTTTGAATCGAAGGGAAAGCAATAAACCAAAACATTCTTACAACATTAAGGCAGCAATAAGAAATGCACTGCCCAGTGATGAAAGTTAACCCAGAAGGAAATATTAAAAAGGGCAGAAAAATATATTTTTCCTCAAAAGGACTTTTTAAAACCAAACTTGGCCCCAAATCTACCTCTCTGCCCCAAGCAAGACTTTAGCCCTATACAAATGCAAATGTAAAACCATCAGAAAGTTGGAGCTAGAGCAATCAAGAAGACAAAAGAGAAGATCTGCATACCCCACCCAAACTCTAGGAGTCAGCCCCATCACCTGGGAAGCAGGATATGATAACAGAATTAAACCACAGATATCAAGGCCTAGACAAACACTCAGAAACAGTCTCAAGGTTCATGCCACAGGAACAGGAAACTATTCCAAACAAAAGGCTAGGGGGGGTATAAAACCTACTGCCCATGTGCTCAATCTCTCTCTGTGCTCTCTGCCCTTCTCTCTCCTCTGCACTTTCCTGAAGAACCATCTTTCTGCAATAAACTGTAACCTTCTTCCCAAAGCAGTCGCCATGTTTGCTTATTTATTCCCGGCTTGGATGAACCAGGATGAAGACTTTACTTCTAACAATTTGGCACCCCAGATGGGACTCCAAGCTAACCTCTCCAATGGACTGAGACTGGTAAGCCCCATCTTGCCGGCAGCAGACCCCCTTGTGTCTGTGGATGGGTTTCCCAGGCCTTGCCCATGTGGAGCTAGGGTAGTAAAGGGAGTTTTGAGAGTTTGAGCTCAAGGGCTGCTTTGGAAAGAAGATGAAGGTGAGTACCTCTAAATTTTAAGTTTAAAGCCCAGGGGAACAAAGAAAATGTGTGCATTTCTGTTTGGGTGAGTGAGAAGACTTTTTTTCCCAATCACAGTTGGATTTTGCTGCTTCTGGTCTTTCCTAGCCGCAGAAAGGATCTGTTTAATTGGTAGAACCTGGAAAGCATGGGGGTTGGCCAGAGCACAGAACCTTTTGTTAGGGAAAAGGGAGAGGCTGTGTGAAAATGAAATGGAATGAGTGAATGAAAGAATTGGATTTGGGCAACTAGCTGGTAAGGCTCTGTAAGCAAAGCAAAGTTAGGAAATTAAGCCTCAGGAAGGGAGCGGCCACTTACCTCCGAGAGCAAGTGGAGGTGCCCACGGACATTAGAGGCGTCCGTAAACAGTGGTGTGAAGCCGGCCGGTCGAAGAGTAGCCAGTACCTTCTAACGAGGAAACCAGAAGTGTCTCTGCAGACCCCTTTTTGGTCTGAAAACGTGGCAGGATCCCTCAGAGGAGCTGTCCCACGAACTCTGTGAGGGATCCAGAGTGCTCCTTGAGTCCCATTTTTACCGGACTCACAAAGAATCGTGGTGGAAGAAAGAAGTCTCAAAAGGAGGCTTTGACTGTGTAGTGCCCTTTAGCGTCAAGGGAAAATCTCGTCAAATAAGAATGGGAGATTCCAATTCAAGGGCTAAGGTAGGTTTCCCAGTTGAAAGCTTGCTCGTAGCCTGGGACAGGAATCAGCTTCCTGTCCAGGCCGGAATGGAAAAGAGGTAGGTAAAGAAACTATATGAAAAAAAAGAAAAATAGACTTCGACTGTGTTAGGAAAGAAGTCTCACAAGGAGATTTCGACTGTGTAGCGTATGAAAGAAAAATAGACTTTGCTTAGGGCCTTGCTGGGAAACCAATTTGGCTAAATAAAGGTACTTAAAAGGGAAAATAAGAAATAGTGATTCTCTCTCTCTCTCTCTATCTCTCTCTCTCTTCTCTATGCAACCACGTGGTATGCTTAAAATATGTGCCTTCCCTAACTTGAGTTATCTGAAATTTATGGTGGGAATGACTAGGATGTGTAAAACTAGGACTTCTGTTCTCTTGTCTTTGTGTATATATGTTTGTCAAAGTCTGTGCGTGAGAGGTAAATGTGACTGTTAACTGTTTCAAATCCAAAGGAAAAAGAATTTTAAAGTCTGCTAGAAATTC